TTGTTCAGCGCAGCGGTGACCAGGCAGACAGCAAGAGCTGGGCAGCACCCGTCCTTACCGCTGCAACCCATAGGAGAAGACAGCCATCAGCTTCTGCAAACAGGTCCCTCTTCTACTGCGTAATGCTGCATGGTAGGTGAAAGAAAACTCTTAAATCCATTAGAAAGTCTTCGTTAGGCAGTGTTGGCTGCGATCCACGTGCTTGATAGCTTGGTCCCTCCCTGGGCTGTGCTGAACAGCTTCGCTGTTCTGGGCTGTCTAATGCTGCCAAGTGAGAATTTCAGCCATCTATTGGGTCCTCCTTCCCCTCTTCTCTGTCATACCTTGCTGAAAAATGTGAACTGGATTTTCTGGCTGTTGCTTACCAACAAAGTTGCTGCTTTTGAGGTAGCTGTAGGAGTACAGGTCCTTCTGGAACTGCTCTTTTAGTATGAATCTGAAGTATTGGCCACAGTTGCCAATAAAAAGGTTTCAAGTGCTTCAAAATGCTTCAAGTGTATTAGCTAGTAACCCACTTATACACCTTAACCCCTAACCTTAAAATGATGATGTGGTGTTACTGTTAACTTTTTTTGCAATGCAACAGTTTCAGGCGAGTGCCATTTTCTTTAGCAGGATGTGCAGTTCAGGAGCAGTCAATAATAAATATGCAGGGGACTTGGGAGGTGAAGGGTAGACCAAAGCTCCAAAATCATCTCTTCTGCACAAGAGACTTAAAAGGAAATCTCTCTATGTCTAGGTACAGACTACTAAAGGCATCCCTGCCATTTCCAGACATCCAGATATACAGCGGTTGTTCCATGAGAAACCTATAAGCAGATATACCAATAGCTCTGACCTTGGCCTGGAAAGACCTGCAGCCCGAAACCCTCCTGGAAGGAGCAGGATTCCTGTTGTAGCTCTGATTTGCTCTGGCGCATGGATGTGATCAAGCCCCGTTTCTGTAAATATGTGCGCGATGCCTGAAAACCGGTGGCCTGATTTCTCTGCCCTGTCTGTGCACTTGCTGCTTCCTTTGGAAGCCAGTTTGCAGGTGTAGGTTCCTGGTATTCTTAAAATTGGCTCGTACGTCCTGCTAATGGACTCGGACCTTTTATTTCTAGAGCCATTTCTGTATGAGGAGTGTGGCAAGAAGCTGCTGTTCTTTGTGCTCTTTCTCTATCCCTTTCCACTTCCCTCATCCTCCTGCTGATTGAGTGTTTTGCAGTCCCGTTCTCCGCATGCAAAACTGCGAGCGCTGAAGCCAGTTAGCAGTGGAAGGTGTAATAAATGCAGAGAAATTCAAATTAGGGTGGCATTTTTCACACCTTTTCTGATTTAAATGTGGAATGACTACCTGGGGGAAGTTAGACATTCTTGATTATCTTGTGCCTTTCTGGACTAAATCCTGGGTATGGTGAAAAGCTGGGCTCAGTAAACTGTGGTCTGTTTTAACTGAGGCAATCGGACCAGATGACGTATTAGTTGTTTAGAAAGTAAAGCTTTGCACTCTCTTTCGAATGGATGTGGATCATCAAATTTTGCTTCTCTGATGGCAAAGTCGCTTACTCTAGATTGCTGTGTAAAAATTGCTGTATGTACCCTGATTAAATCAATACTTGTTTTCTCTGGAGAGAAGCATGCTGCTTTTACTAGTAGCAAAATTGTCATGCTTTAATCTGCAGTCAGTGGGAGTTTAATAATAAAGTAACCAAATTGGTAGGTGTATTTGCAGACAAAATAAGTTAAATGATTTTGCACAGCTTCCATGTGTGGTGTCATCAGCTGAAGTTTGCAGGAGTTAAAGGTAGGGGAGAGAAGGACACGAGGATGTAATTTTCCTACGACTTGTATAAGTACTGTGACAACTCTGCAAATGTTGCAGGCTTCCTCTTCCTCGGATGCGGCTCCACCTGACATACTCGTCTCTCGCTGCTCCATTTGGAAGGTGCTCCGGGCCATATTTCTGTCAGGTCCCTATGTGTTGATGTTGCAGTCCTGTATCAGAAAGCATTAACTTAATTTTTTTTTTTTTTGTTAGATTCTAAATTTCTCTTTCCTTTGAGCTCTCAGCATGGTTTAGCTATGTTCTCCACTGCATAGACTGTAATTTTCTTTGCCAGTTGGCCCTGGTTGCTTGTAAGCAAAATAGCATGATGTACATATTCTAGCAAGGGTGCTCTAGGAGTGACTTTGTTAATTAGCACAGGATCCAGACCAGAGGAAAGGTACCTAGCCCAAAACGTTGCTAATGAGACATTAGCAGTTGGTCTGAAGAGGTACCAGTCCCACTTCAGCTGAAGCAAAGATTTAGAAGAAGGAGGTCCTTGAATTTAGTGGATCTGCTTTTTATTTTTTATAAAGTTTAATCTATTTTTGCTGCTCAGCTTGTGTTTCTTTCTGCTGAGTGTAGTACTGTAAACAGAGATACAGTACCCTGCTGGCCTCCAGGCCTGGTGGGAGGAGCTGTGGGAAGGGAACTGAACCCCTGGAGAAGAGGGGAGGCTTCTGATGGACGACCTCTGACTTTCTCATGGAGGGGGGGGGAAGTCTTGTGATTCCCAAAAATTTTTCATGATGACTGAGACTCTGTAATCAAACAAAACAATTTCTTTTTTTTTTTTAATGTTTTCTCTGGATTTTATCTGTGGTCCATGGAAATATTGTACAGAAATTAAAAAAATAAGTCCAAACCTGATCTCTCCAATGATTTTAAAAAGCATAATGTGTTAAGAAAGTAGGGATTGTGGAAGCGGTGCTGGTTATGGGTCCCTTATTTCTTACCGGCTCCATTGTGGGTTATAAGAGTGTGGGGGGGAAAATCAGTAGAGAGCTGTCTTTCTTTTTTCAACATAGGCATCCTTTGGGCTAAAGATAGCACAGCAAGATGTGCAGATTTGTTCCCCAGAAATGAGACCAATGTGGCTAGGGTAGAACAATAAGGCTACCGCTGCGGGTTTAGGAGTTCTTAAAAAATGGCTTGTAACTTGAGATCCTCAACTTGAAGCAGCTTAAGGGAGAGAGTCAGGGTTATTTCTGTGTCTGAATCTGAGCGCTATGAAGAAATGAGGCCCTCCAGAACTGCAAGGGTTTTAAAACCCTCTCTGGCAGGAGTGAGCAGCATCTGTATGGCTTGCTGTATCCCAGGGCCATGTCCCATTTTTCTGAATTTGAATATCCATTTTGCAGCCTGGTTGTAGTTTTTAAGACCTGTAAATGAAGTCTTGACACTTTTTTTTCCCCTTCTTTCTTTTTTATTTATTTATTTATTTTTCCTCCTTCTTTCTGTTGCACCTTTTTGTAACTTCTCTGGGGCTGCTACGCATTAGTTCTGCTACTAAAAGTCAATGGGGCTTCCTTGGAAAACCCGATCGGTCTAGTTCCTATGACATACTATGGTGTGCAAAACTAAGGGGTTTGCATGCTAAGAGAGATTTTTTTTGTTTAACAGCTCTGGTGCTGACAGGCATGTTATTTGCATGGGTAACTCTTCTGTGGCTGTTTTGGAAGATGGGCTGTAATGGGTGCCATGAAAGCTGTTTGATAACAAATGGGGAGGGTTATACTTTGAACATAGCAGCGTTGTTTGATCATTTGCTCTTTTTCAATCTTTTCTTAGTAAAAATAAATCCCAGTTTTACTAAAAGCTTCAGTGGGCCTTTTGGCTGTGGTGTTTGGTTTGTTAACAGCTTGTAAGCACCAGTCGTTGCAAGACTGGAGTTGTCAAATGCAACCTATTCTAACACTAAATTTTACCCAGATGTGGCTGTCTTGCTTGTCACATTTTGCATGGTGGGGAGGAACTCATTTAAGTGCCAAATAACGATTAGTAATTATGTACAAGCATGTCAAATGTAACTATATATGTATTGTTGATCTGGTAGTTTCTGGCAGCTTGTAAAGAATGGGATTCACCAAAGGGCTCAAACTTTGAGAATTCTTTGGGATGTGACTAGCTTTTTACAGTGTGTAACTACAGCTCTTGGTGTCGTGGGACTTCTGAAGGCTACAGCAGCACCGAATCATAACTTACTATTGAGCTGATTCTTTAGAAATCCTTAAGCATAAAAGAAACGTGTGCTGTAATGTAAGGTAATGGAGAGCAAATGAAGTGCTGTTAGGTTGTGGCATCGACAGTGTCGTTGTGCTTCCCTTTTTACCGTTGTGCAGCACTTCTTGGCTACTTGGATCTGTGCGACTCTTTGTTCTGATTCATTCTGATCTCTGGCAGCCAGGTGCGAAACTTTGATGCCTATATACCTCCATCCTATCAGCTTCCTATTTTTGTCGAGGACTAAAAATGTAAAACCCATATATTTTGATGCATTGGTAACAGAGATGAAAGACTTTCATCCTAAACAAGTCAAGTATGTCCTGGGAGTCCTGACTTTACTATAGCAATGACTACAAAATGAATTGTGGTGGGTTTTTTTTGTCTGTTCCCCCCCCCCTTTGTTCTTCTGTCCTTTTTTAAAAGCACTAACATCAAACCATGTGTGGGAGATGGGTTTCTTCTGCTTCTTGCACAAATCAGCTTTGTAATGTAACTTAGATGCTTCAAAACTTGGGAAGCCTTTTAAGTGTAGGTCTGTAGTAATTCGGTGGGTGATCTGTAGCTCTGATTTCTGTCCAAGTCAACGTTGCTGTTTATACTCCAGCTTTCTTCTTCATAATGGAAATTATGAAGAAGATTATGGGCAATGAAGGACACTCTGGCAGGACAAGTAACCGGTGTAATTGCTTGTTTTTATGGAGATGTTAAATGTTAACTTCGCTTCCATTAATTGAAGATTTGCCCCCTTGGATTCCTTTTAGTTCCCAGAAATAACTGTCTAGGTAGAGTTGGAAGCTCTGGAGCTAAGCACATGTAAGGGGTGCTCCCACCGTGCTCTGTTGGTAGCTGCTGAGTGCCCTCCCTCTTCTGACTGTACTCTGAAGGCAGATGGAGGCAGGGACAGGGTTGGAAGCAAGGACCAAGAGGTGTCTTTGTTAATAATAGGGTGATTTTATGTCTTCCACAGGTGGATTTGCGATAGTGTTTCTTGTGAGGACTAACAATGGGATGAAATGTGCCCTGAAGCGGATGTACGTCAATAATGAGTATGACTTGCAAGTCTGCAAAAGAGAAATCCAAATCATGGTAAGTCACCACTTTGTGTTGGAGCCCCAGACTGGGAGTGGAATGGTGTGAGAGCCTGGTCACCTTCTGCCTGTGATCTGTGTAGCATCACGTTGCAAACTGTGGGTTTTCTTAGGTCTTTCCAAAAGAAAGAGAGTTTGCTAACTCCTGGAGTTATGCGACTATATGAAAATCTTGTATTGAATTATTTAAAATGTAAATAGTTTCAGTGGACAAGAAAAATGTGGGAGCTGAAAAAGCAGAGGGAATCTCAGGAAAATGAGGGGAGGAAAAAAACTCCTATGTCAACCCCATGACTTAATGGGAAAGGGAAGAGCTGAAGAGGTGAGCATTGTTGGGGGTGTTAGACTTCAAAGCCCAACAATCTTCAGGGCTGAAGTCTTCAGCCTTTTAGACTTCATCAGAAAAGGCTGATGACTCTGATGTAACCGTCTCCGAACTCAAATCAGTGCATGAATGGAAGACCTTCATCCTGAGATGAATTTGTATCACAACAGCTTCTAATCTTTTGGGTTGGGATGAAGGCTATCTCTGTATTGGTGAGGTTGATAGATTAAAAACCATATTTGTGGGGTTTTGAAACAGGGAAGTGTTTATAATAAGCACTGGGATGTTTCTCGAGATTATTGGATACAAGGAGTTATATGATAGGATAGCTATTTTTAATAGCTGTTTTAAACTTAGCGTCTCTAAACAAAGAAGAAATTGAGATGATCCAAATAGATTTGCTTAGTCTTGTTTGGAGCCTGGTAAACATGGGAAGTGCCACTTTTGAAGTTGTATTCAAAGATATCGATGATCATTTAAAGGAACTGCAAGGTGGGGAAGGAAATATAAAATCTTCATTCTGCTAATTTACAACACGAGGTATAGGTTTGGGGTAAATGATCTTCATATCAGAAGCTTTTACCTGTAGCAATTCTGGGTGTTTTTTGAAGTAGCCTTTAGTTAGGTTAATAAGTTTAAAGTTAACTTCTGGAGTTTGTGCGATAGTGCAGTGAAGCTTTTGGGCATGCTTTGTCATCACCGTAGCTAACGCTACATGGGAAAAGTTGAGATTAGATCTTACATCAAAGGTTTTAGCTGTGCTCACAAAGCTTGTTTACTTGGATTTTACTTGCTGGTGCTTTCCAGTTGTCTCCGTGTCTTTGGTACCTCTTTGAAATGTGTGGCTAACCTGGAAACAGAGCGAGAAATATCCTTCTTACTCAGCAGGTCCGCTTGCTCCTGAACTGAATCTTATCATAAGCACTAATCTTTGTCCTGAAGAACCAGTACATCACTAAAAGGAAATATTTTCTTTCCTAGCTTTTGGGCAATAAAGAAGTGTTTTAAAACCAGTACGTCACTAAAAGGAAATATTTTCTTCTTTCCTAGCTTTTGGGCAATAAAGAAGTGTTTTAAACTTAACTGCACTTTTTGCAACTGTACAGCATTACAGCAGAATGTGGCCAGCAGAATCTTTGATTTCTTTTACTGGTGAGGCTGAACATGGAGCTGGACTGGCGATCACACCTGGGAGTGTGTGTGAAGCTGGCAGTCCCAAAGGCATGACTTCTCCCTGCAGGTTTAGCATATGTCATGGATAAGTCATTGATATGAGAACTTGTGCTTTAATCCATTGAGTTACTTAAAATAAGGTACTTCTAAAAGCAAGGTTAAAATTTATTTTATTACCTTAGTGGTTTTTTTTGAGCATGTGAAGATCTGAAATACTATTTGCTGGCAGAAGAGTGGAAGGAGATGAGAAAAGTAAGCACAACATGTACTGTGCGTGGCCACGACAAAACATCTGCCTTGTTCTCCCCTCTACATAAAGGAGGAGCAGCTCCAGGTAGCTGGGCCTGGGCCATCTAAGGGAACATGCAAAAATCTGGACCGAACCCTGAACAAGTTAGTTCGTCAGATTAGCTGTTTCTCTGCTGTTTGTCTCAAATCCTTCTGGGAAGAAAACGGGCAGAGACAGACCTCAGGTTTGTTCAAGTTTTGCATGACGATTAATCCAAAGTGACAGAAACTTGTGCCTATATAGAGGAAGAGCTAGGAAAGCTGTTCAGTGTAGAGGAGCCAGATTAAAACGTTGCTCACTCTATATGGCTGGTTTATGCTTCGAATTTATTTACCTTACAGCGGGACCTATCTGGCCACAAGAACATTGTCGGATACATTGATTCCAGTATAAACTCAGTAAGCAGCGGCGACGTGTGGGAAGTGCTGATACTAATGGACTTCTGTCGAGGTGAGTGTGGGCTCAATGTATTGTTCATTGGTAGATTTGTCCCTTTTTGGCGCTTACAGGAAACTTGCACAACATCTTTCTTTTAAAAAAAACAAACCTGTTCCTAGGCCTGGACTTTCCTTGGCTACCAAGGAACCGTTCTGAACAAAGCAAACCCAAAACTAAGTGTGGAGAAGTGGGTGATTCATGAGGCTATGTTGACCCTGTTAATGGGACTCGTACCACCTTTGCCCCTGCCCGGGGTGGTCCTAGATCCTTCCTGTTGTGAAGGAGAACCCTTAAATATATATTGCTGTTTTCTGTAGGCTGGTCCACGAAGAAGTGGCTCTTCTAAAGCTGCCAGGCTGTGGAATGAAATTCTTCTTCACTTTATGTCATATTGCAAGCTTTTTCCACTTCAGCCTGACTTAGGATTGTTCTGGAAGAAGCTTGAAAGTATTCCTTTTACCTCTGACCTTTTTGCTTGGCTGTCTCTAGCCAGACAGGCTCTTCCAGTCTTTTCCAGCTGTCCCAGAGCTTTGATCTCTTGTGGCTAGGATGTGGTGTTTGGAAAATGACGCATGTGCTGTGCTCAAATGCCTCTCACAAGAATAGTGTTAAGCAAAAATAACGTTTTGGCCAGGTGACTTCAGAAGTCTGTGGTGGTGTTTGGAAATGATGCATGTGCTGTGCTCAAATGCCTCTCACAAGAATAGTGTTAAGGAAAAATAACGTTTTGGCCAGGTGACTTCTTCACTTTATGTCATATTGCAAGCTTTTTCCACTTCAGCCTGACTTAGGATTGTTCTGGAAGAAGCTTGAAAGTATTCCTTTTACCTCTGACCTTTTTGCTTGGCTGTCTCTAGCCAGACAGGCTCTTCCAGTCTTTTCCAGCTGTCCCAGAGCTTTGATCTCTTGTGGCTAGGATGTGGTGTTTGGAAAATGACGCATGTGCTGTGCTCAAATGCCTCTCACAAGAATAGTGTTAAGCAAAAATAACGTTTTGGCCAGGTGACTTCAGAAGTCTGTGGCTGTTTTGGATGGTGGCAGCTGATGGAAATAGGTATTCTTGGGACTCTTCGGCTTTTAACTGAAGCCGGGTGCATTGTAGAAAGAACAACTAGGTGCCAAAATGCCTTCAAACATATACGGTACAGCTTTCTGTTCTGTCATGCCCTTTTTGCTGCTTCGTTTTGATGTAGGAATCTTGACTAACTTGCGTTGGGTTTGTTTGCTGGTAAAAGGAAGAACCTTAATGTGTAGCTTTGCTGAAGGAATTATTACATAAATTCTCTGACAGCTCTCGCAAGGAGTGTTGTGAGAAGTAGGCCTGGCAGGTGCTAGTAAATCCATACTCAGCTCCACGTTGCAGACCCCACTGTGGAGGGAAGTGCAAACCATAGCAATTCAGAATGCACTCCCTCCAGCTGCATTAGCCTCCCCCCGTGCCAAATCTTGGGCTGATGAAGTAAAATCCATCTTTCTAAGGTGTTTTCTTCCATCTGAAAGGAGGAGATTTGCAAGGTGGTATTTCTCATGTGATTTGCTTCTGCCAGATGCTCTGCTCGGCACACGCCTGCCTCTGTCTCCAACATTCAGACTGAAGCACAGGAATTGCTGTTAATATGTTGGATTTTCCCTTGCTACTTTCCTTTTGTGTCAAACAGCTTCCAAACCAAATCAGTGTGTCTTTGTGTACAGAACTGCACTCACTTTGAGTGCAAAATGTTCACAGCTGTACTATTTATTAAGCTGAGCTTTTCTTTTGTACCATGAAAATAAAGTTTTGTGATGTGAAATGATACAGTTTTGCTTTGCCAAAGGTTCAGAAAGGATTTTTTTTCTCTGTGTATATAGGGTGTTTTGAGGGGGGAAGAACCTCTGTGTGGATTGTTTTGGAAAGGCCTTGACAGCAACAAAACCTCAAAGTTGAGGCAAATTCAGGACTCATTCATGAAAACTTGCTTTTGTTTGTCTGGACTTTCCCTTGTTACAGACGGCTTTTTAATTTTTTTTTTGCCAGTCTATGACTTTAGCCAAGCCACTTAGTAGCGTATGGGTTTTTTGAGTGTCTCCCTTTCTCCCTCCTCTTGCTTACATGTGGCAAACTATTTTGTGGACTGTGGGTGCCTCAAATTCAGCCTTTTATTCCTTTAGTCTGACAAAAAAGTCTTATTTTGAAGAAGAAAGAAAAAGATGCGGCTTAGTCAGAATTACATTTGAGTGTTAATACAGCTGGGTAAATGTGGGCCTTAGAGGCTAACTTGTTGCTCTTGAAGCATCGTTCAGACAAGATGAGATGTAACGCCTGCTGGCAGATATACAAAACCCCCGGGGATTTAGGCAAGGGAAAGAGAATGAAAGAAGATGAGTAAGCAGACTGCAAAAAGCCCCTGGGGAAGGCTTGGTGCGAATTTTGAATTTGAACTCATGAACTTCTTGTGCGCTGACTGTACAGCCACAGTTTGATGAGGAGCTGACCAAGACAAGGTATGCTTGGTAGGACTGGGGCTTAGACCAGGCCAGACCTCATTTTGCATACCTGCTCTGATTCTTGGTGTTTGTTTCTCCTCAGGAGGTCAAGTGGTGAACCTCATGAACCAACGCCTGCAGACAGGGTTCACGGAGAATGAGGTCCTGCAGATCTTCTGTGACACCTGTGAAGCTGTAGCCAGGTTGCATCAGTGTAAAACGCCAATAATCCACAGGGATTTGAAGGTGAGTTGTGGACTCTGGTAATACAGCAGGGAGCGTGCATCCTCCTTAACGTGTCTGTTTGCTGCCTACGCCAAGGCTTTGAATCCCGATACTGTGTTTCTGTTGTTAGTAATGAGGAGAAGTGGGCACGAATACCTCTCTCTATTGGAAGATAAAAAAAGAAATGAGCCTCTCATTGCTGCTTACCATATGTTTACCATCTATAGATCTACTTAAAAAACACAAATGTTTGTGAATAATTCTGTTTTGCACAGGAGATGTGCCGGAATCTATCTGATGAATTATTCACAGTGACTTTCTACCACCTGAAATACTATTGATGTTATAAGGTAGTCCACAAAAAGCATGCTGTAAATTTGTTTCCTAGACCCACATTAAAAGGATCCAGAGATGTTGGCCTTGGGGCAGGAGTCGTTAGAAGCTTTTGAAACTGGCCTCTAACTCTCTGTTGACCATGAAAGTGCATTTTAAAACTCTGTGTGCTTAGCTGGGAACAGAGCTAGGCCAGTGGGGAGAGCTTTTGAAAAGTCCTATGCCTATAATCAAACAAACAAACAGAAAGACATACCCCTTCCTCTCAACTAGCTCATAAAATGCCTGAATAATATATTCAGCCAAGGAGGCTGCGTACATTTGAAATTCAGATGTGCTTTGTGGGTCAGGTTCTGTTTTCAGAGCCCTCAACAGGTGTTTGTTTTGTGCCGCTGGCCATTGTTTTAGAGGAGCAAAAGATGCCGTGTGTGCCAACAAGAGCCAGGTAGCCCAGGGGAAAAAAGTCCTCAGGGTTTGGTATGCTTGAGCATGTTTCAAATGATTGTGACCCCACTGCTCAGTCAGTTTGAATATGTGAAACAAGTCTGACATCTGTTTTTCCTAGAGTGAAACGGGTGGAGTCATAAATTTGAGGCCTGGATTTAAAGCTGTTAAGGTCTGTGGGCATCTTGCAGGTCTTTGTGTAGGCAAGAAAGACTGGTTTGAGAGGATGAGGCTTAGGAACAGGAACCTCTACAGTTGCTGTTAACCCCTGCTGTCACCTTTTTGGTGAATCCCTGGGATTTTTTATAAAGAACAAACTCATTGTGTGGCATGTGAATAAATTCTGGGACATCTGTGATGGACTAGTGAGTTGATCTTGAGTGTTACTTTCTACACTGAGTTGCAATTGAAATGGACTGTTACGGTCTGATGTCCAGCTCACTACTGCGTGTTTAGATCAGTAAAGTTTTTGCAAGGCCTGGCTCTTGGTTGGTAAGCTGTGCCCAAGGTCAGAGAGTTGGCTCTTCTCTGCTCCGAGACGTGTTTCCCCGTTGAATATTGTATTATTTCTGTCATGACGACCTCTGGAGCTCCAGTCACAAGTGGGGATCTAAGTACTAACACAGAATGATTGATTTAGATATGTTTGGACTTTATTTGAGTTCAAATTTAATAATGCCAAGGGGGAGCTGCAATTCCAAGAGAGATTAAGTGCCAGAAGATTTTTTGTACAAGTTCTGAGTGTAAGGAAAGGCATCCATTGTGTAGGTGTTTTGTTGGGGTGAACATAAACCTGTGGAAGAGTGGGCAGATGTTGACTTTGCAGACAGCTGCATGGAGATTGGAGGCTTTTTTTGCCTTCCAGCTATTTGATGTTGCTCTAACACTGGAGGTTCCTGCCCAGAGAGCTCTGCCAGCAGAAAGGATTGTGTGAATAGTCTTCAAGCCCTTTCAGACACACGCAGCTGGATTAGTTTCAGCGGCCTGTGGCTGTGATTTTTTGACTTAACCCAACAGGCTTTGCCTGAAGCAGAACAACCTCCTGCTGGCACAGTCTCCAACTGGTGGGAAGTGACCAACAGCTGGGGACAACAGCACCTTTAAGCAGCGTGCCTATAGCACAAGTGGACATCTCACTGCGAATAAAGGCCACGAAAAAGATAGTATGTTTGCTTATTAAGGTTTTCCTTCCTGATCTGATGGTTAACTCTCAGGTGCTGTGTCAGTCTGTCCCTGTGTGCTTACAGCTGCATGATGTGCTGTACAAGGTGTGATGTTTAGTTTCGTGTGCTTTGACTGACTGCCAGAAGAACAGGCGTATGTTGATGGTACTTTTTCCTAAAAATTAGGAAGCCCCTCATGTGCTGCCTCTGCCCTAGTTAGAACCCCTGTAGAGGCAGTGTAAGCCTACTGGCAGTAGGCTTGCCTTGCATGGTCACCTTTGCTTGTTCTTGCAGATACTTTCCTTGCCCTCAGGTTTCATAGGCCATTGCTGCTGCAGGGCATTCCCTAAAAAGTTTATTTTTGTTCTCCTCTCTCTGGAGTAAGAACACTTCCTATAGCCTTAGGTTAGGCCTTTTAACAGCGAAGAACAAATGGCCAAACCTTCTTATGGCTATCTGTTATGTTACCCTGGCTGTGAAGACTCTGCTTCTAAGTTGGAATCTGGGCAGAGAAACTATAACTGTCAGATCCCAGAGGAGTAGGGTTTAGTGAGGTGGAGGGAGGGGAAAATCTATCTAGGGCTGATGATAATGATTTACACAACTACCCTATACCTAGTGGTAGTTGTTTGCATAACCTGTTTTATATTGAACCTTGTCTTTCCGGTCTCACATCCTATAATGCATGCTGTTCAAAGCACCAGCTTAGAGCCAACTTTGATTTCTACAGCTTGGAGCTTTCTGCAGTGAGAGGTCTCCCACTTCTACCTGTGATGCTTCTGCTAGTCTGAACCCATCTGGTTCCAGGAATAGATGACTGGCTTGCAGATGAGTGGCTGAATTTTCTTGTAGTAGACACACAGCAGGATACAGCAAAATACTGTGTCAGTCAACCCAGAGGATGCTGTTGATCAAAACATCTTTATCCTTTCCTTTCCTTACTTTCTGAAATTACCAGAAGGTTGTGCTCTCATGTTAAGGATTTAGTTTCTTCTGCTTTCATTTTAGCAGGAGGCCTCCCAGTGCTGCACTTCTCTGTGGTGTGATAAGACAGTCACGTTGTGCTGCTGTTATCTCTGTGCCTTCTTCCATCACCCTTCTTTGTAATGCCAAGTCTTGCCCTGGAATTTGTTTGGACGGATCTGTGTTCAGTGTGTGATATGTAAAATTGTTCAGTCCTGTAATGGTAAACCCTTGTATTGACCACCTTAAGAATACGCCTGTGCCAAAATCAGTTAGCGCTCTTAGATGTCACGTTGCATTAATTTCTTTGCTATGAAATACTAAACAAGCTTTTAGAGGTAATTAGTGAATGGTGCCAGGGGAGGAAGGGAAGTTGAAACATCTCTAAAGAGACCTGAAGGCGCTGGAACGCAGTCAGAAAGTGTACCTTGGTTGTGCATCCCTCCCAAATTGCTACCTGAACTTAGAAATACCAGCCTTAGAAGCCATTGCGCTCATAAGAGGATAATGTGTGTTGATGTTGCTAGTTAAAGAAAGCCTTACTTCTTATCCCTTGCCAGTCTGTGTCTGTGCAGTGTTTTTACGACTTTACTTCTGGTTTTAGCAAAGAAAGGCATTTGTTTCAGAGAGCAGAGACAGAAGCTAGCTACATTCTGTAACTAACAAAACTTAAGGCAATTCATAGTTTCCCTTGAAGATTTTTGTTTGGCGTCTAAATCTGACTTTGTAAGTGTTGGGCATGTCAAAGACTGCAGCCAGAGTTGTAAGCTCTCAGCAGTGCTGAAAACAGGATTGCAGCTTTCTGAGTGTTTGACTGGAAGAAGACACCTTCGTACTCTTTTTAAAAGACTGTTTTTTCTGGCCTGGCAGTCAGTAGCAGTAATTCAGGTACTTTGTTTTGCTGTATTTTTTTATTTTTCTTTGTCTGGAAGTTACTGAACAAGCCTCGTTGCTAGAAAGTCCAGTGCTGATGTCTAACAAAACTTGCAGGATGTTTCAGTGAGAAGTCACCTCAGACTTCTCAGCCAGATAAAGTAGAAGGACCCTTCTGGAAATGTTTGAGTATTTGCAGGGAATAGGGAATAACGCTGTCAGTGTTGATCTGCTAGGGAGAACATCTGTGTGCAATGCTTTATTCAAAGCAGATGGATAGCAGAGGGGGGAAGGGGTGTTGTTTAACCCTTGGTTTCAAGCCAGCGTTTCCCTCCTCAGCTGCTCTAATTTGGCTGCGTTTTCTGATGCTTAAAATGCTGACTCCTTCTTTTTCTTTCCTTCTTGTAAAGATCATCCTTGATGGGGAGGTCTACTTCCAAAAGGTTTTGTTAGCAAACACTTATATGGTGATTTTTTTTTTGAAATATATGAGCAGTATGTTTTATCTCGTTGTATCTGAGCATTTGACATTGAAGATAAATACATTAAAAATTGTGCGCGTTCCCTTGAGAGAACATGCTGTTAATGCCACTGTACAGATGAGGAACTGGAATACAGGGATGCTCTGCCAAAGCAAAGAACTGAACCCAGGTTTTTCCACATCTTATGTCCGTGTCGTAACATTTAGACAGCTTTTTAGGTGGATGCAAGCTAGATTTTTGTTAATGCATGATTAAGTGTGTTTAGGGGAAAGGCAGTGACTTTGCTGATTTTGTTTATTTTTTTTTTAACTATCCCAGGTGTTTGTTTCAGCATTTGTTTCAGTTGTCTGATTCAAGCTACCAAATAATATTTCAGAGAAAGGGGTCATCTTCTCAGCAGCCTGGAGGAACCTCTGCTGATACAGCCACTGTTTAGGGAGTGTGGAGTACCCAACACATTCTGGTAACGAGCAACTGAAGTGTGAGCATAAGCTGAGGTTTGTTTTGAATGAGACCTGAAGTGTCAGGTGAAATGCAGGCAAAGAACTGGAGGTGTATTATAATTTCATAAAGTACAGAAGTGTGTGTGCTGTCATCCATTTGCCTCCTCTCTGCCCCACTAGACAGCGAGGGGGTATAGCTCTTTATAAAGCTGTGGACAGCTTGTATTAGCTGTCCCAAATTCAGATGCCAGACTGTGGGTTATAGTAGCTCAAGGAAGTTGAGTACTAAAGACACCGGGACGCAGTTCTTGTCCTGAAGCACATAGTAGTCTTTTGCAAGCACATCACCTTGTCTCTACTAAGGAGAAAGGATGGAAGGCAGTGTTACGACTATGCTTCCATAATTTGACTTCTATTTTAGGAGATGTGACAAGAGACTTGATGCATATTTTCTTTGCTGTCATGTTATGCTTTTATGTCAGATGTGTCTGATATGTCTTCAGACAGTAAAAACCCTGGCTCATCTAAAGAAAACAAATGTGTTTTTTGTCTGAGTGATTCTGTATTTGTCTGTGATGCTCATAGGTTGAAAACATCCTGCTGCACGATCGTGGCCACTATGTCCTGTGTGACTTTGGAAGTGCTACTAACAAATTCCAGAACCCTCAAACAGAAGGGGTGAATGCGGTGGAGGAGGAGATCAAAAAGTAAGTGTGCTTTTCCTTTTCAACTTGAACATAGTTTGTATATGAAGGGTATTTTTTTTTTTTAATTTTTCCTTGTACTGGGACTAAATTTTACTCAGGCCTGTTGCAGCAGATTGGATGCTGCTGCATAGAAGTGTCTGCTGCAGGTAAATAAGCGCCTGGGGGAAGGTGAAACAATAAATTGAGCTTGAGGTAATTGCTTTAGACCTGAAAGACTGAGCGTACTAATGCAGAGAAGTTGCCCACCTTGACGAGGTGGTGACATGTTCTGTTATGTAAGGGGTCAGTCTATCTCTGTCCCTCATCTATCTTGGCTTCTTTGAACTGCAGTACAGCAGATGACAAAATCCCTGTCCTCCATGAGCCACTCATCATAAATCCTTGCAGTGACTAAGGGAATGCGTGGCCTAACTCCTCAGCTCTTCATACAAAAACATAAGGACCTTGAGGTGTTTAATCTGGCTCCTTCTCTTGCCCCATGCACAACCAGCTATAGTGGTAGCAACTAGGTGCACCTTGATGCTTTTAAAAAGGGAACTTAGGTGGCAGTTCAATAGGACCTAGATCAGGAATGGAGCAGACTCTAGGTCCTTGGTCCTGCTTTAGTTTTAGCAACATCACTGCTGCAGACTTTCTAATTCTGTTAATACAATATTCTGGCTAGAAAACAGCATGTTAGAAATGTGTGCAAATGCCTCCTTTTTGTTAGGATTCAATTACACCTGTATGGATTTCCTAGACTTGTTTAAATGACTGAAGTTCTCAGAACGCTCCTACTCCGGCTTTGCAGTCCCTTTTGGAATACCCTATTTGTACACTTATTAACAAGTCTACAAAAACTTTGCCTTTAGCAGTGCTTTCTTGTGATCAAGGTAAATAGCATGCAAGGTGCCACAGCAGAAATTATAGACCTACTGATAGGAAATCTTATCATAAGAGTCTCTTAACCCATGGCGCAGTTTCCAGCTTTTCTGTTTGTAGTGATTTGTTAAAATGAGGCAGATTCTGGCTATAGTTTGAGATATGAAATAACCTTTCCCTTATTTACAATGACTCTGAGCAGGAGTCTTGCTATGGAAGTCTATTTATTAGGAGCCACGTATCCGGTTACAATCTTTGTAATACAGTTGGCCAAAGCCCCAGCAGTGAGGACGTTGCAGAGGACATTTGACTACTGACCTTGTTAGTACTCTGAATCCTTGAATATTTCTGTTCTAGTTCTTAAAATTACTGTACTGTTTTGTGAGTAAATTGCTCGCTTTAGAAAGGATCTTGGTTACTGCTTTGGTTTCACAGGGCAGCTTGCAGTAGTTAGTATTTTATTGTTAGAGGTATGTAGCAGATACTGTTGTTAAAAATTTTTCCAATAGATTGTCTTCTTTAGTATCCCTTTCCCTAAAATGAATAGGGAAGGAGTGAATTTTGAATTACTTGGAAATGTGACATTGTGAAAATGCCCCTGATATCCATTTCGAACTCACTGATAGATCTTTCTGCTACAGGTACACTACGTTATCCTATAGAGCACCAGAAATGGTCAACCTGTATAGTGGCAAACTTATTACTACAAAAGCAGACATATGGGTACGTATAAAAACCGCTTAACATCATACAACCAGACTGCAGCTTGCTTTCATTACCATAATGACAGGGTAACTTTCTGGCTGGGCCTAACCTGGTTTCCATAAGAGACTGAACAGTTTCTGAATAAAGAGTTCCTCTGCTTGACATTTCTGATGAGTTACTGCTAGGCAGGGTGGCTTGTGGATAAAAACATGCAGGCTTCTTTGCATGCTACCTCCCATGTGGTTTTAGTTTAGAGATGTATGAAATTACAGGGTTGAACGGTGCAAACCTGATTTCGTATCTTAAGAGTTAAACCAGAAAATTCAGAGTATTGTGACTTCATGTGCCTTAGTTGGGTTGCAAGCACGTGAAATCAACGTTACCGGTCAGAATTTAGTAGAAAACTGAGAAAATAGACCTTCCCCCAGGAGAAACAGTATGCTTATCCTGGACAGTGTAATGCAGGTCCGAGTTGTCAAACCTGGCCAAACACCAAGCTTTTGCACTGCTGTTTCTAATGATCAGTGCAATCTTGCCATGCTTTTCATGTTGAGAGCAAAATGCAACTGTGGTGTAATCCATTACTGGCTAACCTGAGCAAGGATGGAAGGCTTCCCTGCAGTTGGGATGGAGATGAAAAAAAGTCTGTGCTGTTTGTAGCGTAGTGGCGATTCAGCAAATGGGATGTGTTTAAAATGCTAATTCAGAGCATGTTTGTATGGTTTCTGAAGCCCTGAGCTAGGAAGTAACAAGGCAGAAGCAGTATAAGGAGAGTTTTAATGTATCCTCAATAGCTCTGCATCTGCATATACAAGAGGGAAAATTGCTGGCGTGACATCTGCTGGGAAGAGTTCTCTGTCCTCTCTGTGAGCTCAGCTCGGAGTCAGGAATGCAGCAGCTCCTGTGGGGCTCTTGCTCTGCTGAGTTCAGCAGGAGGTTTGTAGAACTGGGCCGTGTACCAGTGCCGGGTCGCTCACCTTGGTGTTAGAGACCTGGAGAGGGAAGGTCACAGCTGTAACAGCATGGAAGGACTGTGAGGGCCTCAAAGGCAGCCAGAGGAGAACCTAGGATTTGCACTCCTTCCTGTGATAATGTGGAGAGGCGGAGACCCAAAGGCTGGAATGGCTCTCCTCTTCCTGGCATGGAAGGAATTCTGTTCTAGTGACCCGCTGAGCGTTTCCAAACGAGCGTGTGGTGGTGTGCACAGTGGGGCCTCGACTTCAAGGCCTGTTGCAGCGCTTGTCCTGCTTCTAACCTCCCTTTCCTTAAATCTCATGGAGGTTATTTTAAACTAGAGTGCAATTTAGTTGTGAAATTCTATGACAAAAGATATAAGCTGATGAGGAGTTGCTTAGGATTAGGAAATGTTTCCCCCTCTCCCCTCTGAGATGGTGGGAGTGTTTCATAATTAGCCCTTTGTGCAAAACTTGTATTTTCTTTTGAAATAGGTGGTGGTTCTTGCTGTCAAAAGCAGCACGGAAATAGATGGAAGGGTGATATAACCTAGCAGCCTGCAGACTTACTGTAGATCTCTCCCTGGTACATATTTATAACGGCTGAAAGATTGTTTGAACTTTAAGCTTGGAAACAGTTTGGATTTTTCTTTGTCAGAATAAATGTATTAAGGATGATGGTTGCCATTTATTTTTGCTATTACTTTGCTTTTTCCTTCCAGTATGTGGCAGAAACAGGCTTTGCCTGTTTAATGACATGAAGGGTTACACTATGTGGAGCTGTGGGGTGTGTGTGATGATACTCACATGATCCCCCAGATTACAGTATCTCAGCCTAGCGAGGGAGAGCTCTTCATGTATTATCTTCCCATATAGCTATGCTTGTTTTCAAGTCTATCACAGGGATGTTAAAATGTAGGCCTGATGTCATGCAGGACCCCTATAGTAGAACAAGCTAAAGCACTTTCCCTGTTATCTACAATGGTATTTGAATTGTACCATTCCCTGCTTTGCTTCAGTTTGTTAAATCCTTTGCTCTGTTCTCTCCCTAGGCCCTTGGCTGTTAAATCCTTTCCTCTGTTCTCTCCCTAGGCCCTTGGCTGTTTGCTGTACAAGCTGTGTTACTTCACCTTGCCATTTGGGGAGAGTCAGGTGGCAATCTGTGATGGCAATTTCACCATTCCAGATAATTCTCGGCACTCGCAAGACATGCACTGCCTCATCCGTGAGTGTGTCTGACAGTGGTATAATCTACTTTTGCAGAACTAAAAAAATAGCATAGGTGTTTTGTTCTTACGTTCCCTGCTCCTACAGTAAAATAGTTGGTGTTTCTCTTATTTTAAGAGACATGCTTGCACACAGGGGTGGATTAAGTGATCTTTTAGTAGCTTAGGAGATCACTCTTCGAAAGAAATGATGACAAAGAGATTTCTATTTGGCTAGGCTGTAGTGAACTCTGTGGAAAGGCAGGAAAACAGACAACCATTTGGTTTAAGAGTCCTACAGAAACTTGCACAATAAGCCTATTTACGCAGAAACGTATTTCTCCAGTAATAAATCTATTTGGATAAGGAACTGAAAAGAACCACAGTGACTTTGACTAGTGATAAGAATTCATCTTCTGTGAATTGAGAAACAGAACTGAAATGACTTATAAATAACCCACTGACTAGAGTGAATGTGTAATTAAGGGTACAATGCACTACTCTTGGCAAAGCTGGGGCAGCTCTCTTGTTTTCAGCACAGCATTTGATTCCTTCTCACCCCCAGCCACAATCTTGACTAACACAGAGTTGGATGTGTTTGCAGAGCAGGCTGGTATTTTCTTTGCTTATGCAAAGGCGGTGGTGTATGTGGCTGGCTTGTCTTCCTGCCCCACTGGCACACCGGGGTTGGATCAAGCTCTTTTACTGCGGGTTCACTTGGAAATGCAGAAGTCGAAACCAATGCTATTCCCTGACCAGGCAGGTTGCATTTCCCCTCCTTGCCCTAGAGCCTTCGATAGCAGCTACAAATTGTTCGTAGCTGTTTTGGAAAATATCTCCTAGTCCATCCTGAGTGTCTGTCTTGCCCCTTTCTCTCTGACCCTGATGATCAGCTCAGCCCCACTGACCACCGACTGGATGCTTTGAAAGAGGCAGGGCACCCTGTTAGCATTTGGCTATGCAAATGTAGCTCTGCCACAAATGGCTTACGTGAATCTGTCTGTTCTATTGCTCTGATATTAGCATCTCTGTCTTTTAAAGGGTATATGCTTGAGCCAGACCCTGATAAGAGACCTGATATTTATCAGGTCTCCTACTTTGCATTCAAATTGGCAAAGAAGGAATGCCCGGTCCAGAACGTCCAGGTGAGTAGCAAAGGAGTGGACTGATGTAGGGCTTTGTGGGAGGAGACTGGAGGTGGCAATTGCTGAATATTGAGCATTCTGCTGTATTCTGTCGGTTGTTCCCCAGTTCTGTAATTAGGAGGGTCTTTTTGTGTGGTGGTGTTTTGTTTTTTTTGAATTAGCAGCGCTGTTTGGGGGTGTCTTCTTGGGGGGTGGGGGCAGGAATCAGGGGTTTGTTTCATATGTTGTTTATTTCTGTTTGTCCCTGATTTACCTCCTCATTTACCTCCTCACCCAGTTACCAGTGTGAGGCGAACCAAGAGATCTTGTGCATGTGAACATGGAAAATTAGGCCATGCTTGTGAAACCGATTTGATTTCCAGGCACATTCATCATAGCGTGTGTAATTTGTGCTGCAGTTGGTTTTAAACATAGCGGTTTTGTGTCTGCTGTCTGGCTGGGACTAGCCAACTCACATTTGAACTACATTAGACCTTACACAACCATCTGCCCCTTCTTAGTGTATCTTTATAGTCTTCAACTGAAAAATAGAGTTGACAAGTATTTTCTTACGGTGTTATGGACATCTGTGACATGACGTTTTATTTTGTTGTTTCTAGGTAAGAAGAAACCTTTCCCCCCTCCCCCCTCCATATTCAAGCGGTTATTTATGGTCTTTATGAATAAGACATAGTTTTGGTACTATTATGCCTGTATTTTTTATAGCAGTATTAAGAAGTATTGCTGCTATTGTCCCCAGGTTGTCTTTTCAAAATACTCAGGTTGCGCTGTGAAGCTTTGTGTTCAGATTCCACGTGCAGTAAATGGTCAAAAAGCTGAACCGTATTTTTCCCTTGTAAAGACTCTCCCAAACTTCTGTCTCCTTATGACATTAACATTGAGTGGTTTGTCCTGTGTCCAGCATGAGGAATAATTGCTTTCAATATCCCCCAATCTCCCCGTTTCATTGGGATGTTTTTGCAAATTATTCCTGACTGTTTTCTGCCCTCAAAATACAAAATTCGGTGTTTTTGGGATCTGCAGAACTCTCCAATCCCCACTAAACTCCCAGACCCGGTTAAAGCAAGTGAAGCTGCTGCAAAGAAGAGTCAACCAAAGGCCAGGTAACCACATCTGCATTATGCTCAGCCCTCTCTCTTTTTATTGTCTATTGTCTTTCTGCTGTTTATTGGGAAAGATGCTTGGTATATTTAGCTGCTTCCTTGTGGGCTTACATATACACGTGGAGACAAACACTGCAGTCCTGAGGCTTCTGCTTCAATGACATAAATAACCATTGATCTGAAAGGCAGAAAATGCAGATATTAGGGGAAATTTTTCTGCGGGTGGGGGTGGGGTTTGGGCGGTACTCAGCATGACTCAACAGCTAGGCTTTTTGTACTGAAGACACTGCTTGACAGCAGCACTTGAAGTTCATGCACTTAGATGAATCTACTGTGTCATCCATCCGGAGGCAGCACCCGGAGTACCTGAGAGCAAAGTCAGGAGAAAGACTGCGGTGGGCCTGGAATTGGCCCAAAGAATGCAAGTCTGCTGAGAAACTGCATTGGGGACTATTGCTGTTTTGAGTTTGACCCTCGGCAGATGATAACCTGACCCAGTAATTACTGTATGAAATTGGTGTGATTTCTGCAAGAGTCCTATAATTTCTTCTGGGGGAGACACAAAAGCCCAAGCAGTCTCCATCTGAAGAGCCCAATTAGTGGGGAAACCACTGTACTGCTGTGGTTTTCATCCTCTCCTGCTGCTGCTTGCTCTGCTTGTGATACTGTAATGGAGACTTGTAAATTCTGTTGGACAAAACTTGTACCTTATTTTACTGCAAAGTGAGCAATACAGCAGCGGGCACTCCAAACCCAGCAGTTTTCTTCAGCCTCTGAAATAGGGCATCTTTCCTCCTGTCAGTCCGTCCCAGGAATCTGCTTTGTTTTTTTTTATAATTGAGTGCAGTTACCCTCACATTAGTAGAACAACTTGATATCTAACAAGCAAATATTGTCCACAGAGGGGCAGGGTGGTGTCTGGCTTCTTGGCTCTGTTGCTATGCGTTTTTGGAGCTCAGTAAATACTGAGCAGGGATCAGAGAGGTCCGATGACCTGATTCTGGGGTAGATGTACTAAAGTTAAGGTACTTCTAAAGATGGCAATTTAGACAACTCTGCCCAAAGGTACCAGCTGCTCTTAAGCTAATTTGTTACGTCCTTCATCTGCTCATCCAGAACCCTAAGTGGATTTAAACAATATGCTGTAGCAAATATTTGAATGAGTTCAGTGATTTTGACAAGTTCCAGCTGTCCAACAGAAGATGCCACAATTGGCAAAGAAGTCAAAATGATCGTGTTGGATTAATTGTTGTGAATGCATCTGTTAAATTTTACTGTGCTTGCAGTTTTCTGGAAAGAGTTGACGTGTGTGTGTGTATGCCCACAAGTGTTTCACCTTTATCAGTCACATACTGCTAAAGTATGAAGGAGTTTTTAAACCCATACTGTGTGTTGCATGCACCAACTATCAGGCTAACAAAGACTGTCCTCTTACTACTCTTCCATTTATTCCTTACCTTATTTTGTAGGCTGACAGATCCCATCCCTACGACAGAAACTTCCATAGCACCCCGCCAGAGACCTAAAGCAGGGCAGACACAACCCAACCCTGGAATTTTACCCATTCAGCCAGCCCTGACGCCTAGGAAGAGACCCACGGCTCAAGCAGCCATTCAGCCACAAGGTGAAACGATGCTTTCTGTGCGGTGCCTTGCTGCCGGGCACTGCGTGCCGCAGGGCTGTGGTGCACGTTGATCTAATGGATCTGCATGTTTGTTTGGTTGGTTTTTTTCCCCCCTGTCAGTTGCAGGACCTGCTGCCCTGGGCAGTGGTCAGCCTTCGCTCCCTGCAAGCGTCCCCCCGCAAAAAGCAGCACCTCAACAGACTCCGGCACAGCCACAAGCCAAGCAGGCACCAGCTCCGCAGCAGGCCTCGCAGGCGCAGCCCCAGGTCCCTTCTACTCAGCCACAAGCCACACCTCAGCATCAACAGCAGCTTTTCTTGAAGCAGCAGCTTCTACAACAGCAGCAGCAGCAGCAGCAACAGGCTGCCTATTACCAGCAGCAGCAGATGATGCAAGCTCAGCAGGTAGGTGTGCACGGCTGTGTTTGTTGCATGCTTCCTGTGCTAGAAGCCTGCAAGGCCTTATCTTGGCATTTATGGCAAGTCCCCTGGCTTTTGGGGGATAGGTGCAGGTTTTAGGAATTTTCCAATGTGTCTCCAGTTCTCTAGCAAGACTTTGCGCTACGCAAGGCTGGCATTTTTAACTGTCAATGTGCAAGGCCTTGAGATAGTTTTGTCATGCACAAACATAAAATAAGAAGTGCTGGTAGAGATTTTACAGCTCCAAGTGTTTCAGGGTCTTGAGGTCAATGCTCAACTGACGAGCAAGAGGGGTACAATTTCTCTTCTGCTCTCTTTGTAGTACGAGAAGCCTAGCATGCCTCTTTAACGGTAAGATTCAGGTCTGGTTTTGTGGTAGACTGCGGTGTTAAGGAGGCCTGTGAACACATGATGTGTTAAGATGGGATGTGTCTAGCTGACAGACTTACATACTTAACTGAGGTGTTTGTAGCAGCACAGATCTCTGCTAAAGCATATTTAACAGTGGAAGCAAAGGGCCAGTGAATCTTCCTATGCTGGGGAAAGGTTTAGAATTGGTAAAAATGGAGAAAGGAATTTGGGACTACAGGACAGTGTGTGCTGTGGGAGCCCCGTACAGGCAGGTGTAGCACAGAGAGGATCTAACGTTAGACCAGAAGGCCGTTTTCCACTGCTCCTTTGCAGATGGTCTCCAAGCCATTGCAGCCTGTTACTGCTTTGCCACTTGCAGTGGCTGTAACCGTTCCCGTGGCTGGCCCCGAGTTCTGGTGGTGGTACCCCAGTTCCCAGCTGCTCAACAAGCGGCTCAACAACTGGTTGTTTCCCAGTTCCCAGTGATGCAGCAAGGAGCACCAGCACAGCAACAGCTGATGCAGAACTATTACCAGCAGCAGCAACAGCAGCAGCAGATGATGGCCCAGCAGGCAGCAATGCAGCAGAAGACAGCAGTAGCAGCAGTTCAGCAAAAGCAACAAGCCCCAGCGCCACCGCAGCCCCAGGCCCAGCAAAGTGCGGCCCAGCCAGTGCCACCCCAGGAGCAAGTGGTAAGAGCCTTGCGGGAAGGATTGGGGCAGTGGGATTTGGAGTACTGGCAAGTGCTCTCCTGCCAGGTCCTATATGCCAGGAACACCCCAGCAGGGTGGCTGGCTTTTCAGACCCACAGAGCCCAGGTAATCGGTGCTCTAGGGCCTGCTGGCCCCTAGTGCGTTATTAGTGAGTCGCAGATGTCAGCACTAACCTTGCTGCCTCAGAGACACGTGCAATTGTTTGGACTGCTCTTTCCAATGGGATGCTGGACTCGAGTTGTGCTCTGGGCCCATAGAGAGAGGATTAGTAGATGATGAGTAGAAAGCAGATGAGGAGGTAAAAGTAGCTGCTTAATGCAGCTTCTCTCTATTCCTCCCCTGTCACGACATTGCCTTAGAAGACGTGATAAACTCTTAAAAATTATTTATACTTTAACGCATCAGGATGGGCACCAGGCAACAGAACTACTTTATGCTGCTGCTTTTTTGGAAAACTTCTGTCTTGTATCCAGGGCTCTGATGCAGAGGAAGGTGCAAGCAGCCTTCCTGGTTGTTTCTGGCATTGGGATAACTTTTTTCTTTAATGAATACTATGGAAAGGAGACTTTTCAAAGTAATGTATCTAAAAATAAATTAATAAATCATCCACTTTACTAATCATCTGAATGCGTGTCCAAAATAAATGCTCTTTACTTAATGGAAAATATGGCTGTCTGCAGCAGGGAAACAGCCAGCTGTCTGTAGTGTTAAAGGCAGGGGAGCTGTGCCAGAGGGCAAGATCCCCGTTGCCAAAGTGTCTCTGCAGTACATATGGGAGGAAGCTGTGCCGTTTGCTTTCATTCCTGCGCAATCCCATCCGCTCTTGCTTGGTTTTGAGAATGCAAAGGGATGTCCCTAACTCTAGTTGCGTGTTGGAAAGAAAGCTTGTGGAGGCACCAGGCAAGAGGAAGCTGCCCGCTATTTTGCTGTAGCAAGTTACACGTGTGCAAAGCAAACAGTATCTGATAACAAACCGCTTCAGGTACGCGATATTTGAATCCAAACGAAGGGTCAGTCTGTGGTTGCTTGTTCGTGAGTTGCCAGTCATTCAGGACCTAATTCATCTCTTGAGCATGCTTCCTTTGAAGTGACATCAGGAATTAATTTGACTAATAAACTCCATAAACCAGTGACCTGAGCAATGCTGGGGAAGCATTGTTTGTTTTACTCTCTGATGTGTCTCAAGGCTCTGTCATATTCACCCCCTTTGCTTTTATATTGATTTTCAGCACTAAGCTGGTAGTTAGGGTAGGTGACAAGCTTGGAGCTGTTGTTTTCCTCTTCTTGTTATTGTTTTGCTGAATGACTTTGGGGTAAGTCAATTTATTGAAATGGGTGGGAGATTTTCAGTACATGCAGACAGGTTTTGGATGAGGCCTATTATTACCCTGTTCAGGAGAAATGCCTGAAATGTAGTATTGAAGTGCATCTCTAAAGAGCTTTGCTGTGATTCACTAGCACAAAACCAGTCTTAATTTTATTAAATCAGCTAGATTGAAAATTAGCCTTATCCCTCTGGAAGGCTGATCAGAATGGACACATCTGCGCACTTTTCCACTCCTGCAGCGGTCAGGAGGGGAAAAGCAGTGGTCGGCTCATTTAAAAATTGATAGTGAGATATGGTCTCTGCAGAGAAGGATCTTTGAGCAGAAGATACCAAGCCAGGACCCGTCAAAACCTTTTCACGTTGCGAGACTTCAGCTTAATAAGCCCTGCATTCACTTCTGTGGAGATTTCGGCACTGCCCTTTTATTTCTCAGCACCAAATGTACCGTTCTGCATTGACCTATATAGTGAGATGTAAGGTGGGTGCATCAGAAGCAGTCAGGTCAGCTTGGTTCTCAGCCGCAGTGAATTAGTCTGCCTGAAAATGCCAGATGAAAAGCAAGACAGCTAACCGCTTGTTTGCCTTGCCCCACTGTAGTTAAGCACCACACTGGGGATGTAACTCTTTTCTCACTGCCCCTTTAGGTCTTTCCAAGTCTTTCACCTGTCTTCCTTGGTTGAAAATGGCCAGGGATGATATGGGGTGGGGAACAGGGAGCTAGTGCCCAGGCAGTGGAGGTGACATGCACAGCTTTCTGCTCTTTGCATCCTGCTTTTCCTGCTTTAAATCCAACCATGATATCTCACTGACAGACAGATTTTGAAAAATCACATAATCGGAAGTGATGCTGTTGTTTATTGCTACAAAACAGTATTTCAGGTATTTGTGGGTTTGTGAGTTTAACACAAGACTGAGGTAATGGAAAAATAAGATCAGTCTGAGGAAACCCCTTGAAGTGTCCAAAGGGTTTGTAGCTGGGCTATCTTGGCTTACACCTAAACCAAACATACCTGTTTTTTCTCCTCCAGATTCTAATGACAAATGTTGCTCCTGTGGTCCTTGCTTTGTTTTGTGGGGATTTTTTTGCCTAAGAGAAAGCTAAGAAAGCCTCTTGCACAAGATTTCTGCAGAAGACCTGTACTCCTTTAGGGATTTGACCCCAATCACACATTTTCTGCTGGAAGAAGCGCTGCTCTTCACCTTGCCCCACTCCATGTGTCCATATGACAAGACTCCTGCATGCTATGATCTGATTTCTGTTGTTACCTCTGTCCTGGATCTCAGCCTCTTTACCCACGAGCAAGTTTCCGACACCAGCTAGCCTTTAATAACAAGCACTAATAGAGGCTTTGCCTCCAGAGCTGCATTATAGAAAGGGGAGAAGGTCTCTGCTTGTGCATTTGTACTAATCCTGAGATACTACAGAGCAGCAAATTCTCCCCTGTTTGTTTGTTTTTTCCCCTCCAGACTATCCCCAATCCATGACTCCTCTAGCACATAGCCGTTTTTTCATCATGGCTGTTGTTCACGAACAAGGACATACCATTTTACTCTCTCTCCTAGATGCAGGCACAAATGAGGCAACAGCAAAAACCTCAAACCACACCCCCCACAGCCGTGCAAGGGCAGAAGCTGGGCTCTCTCACCCCTCCGTCCTCCCCCAAGACGCAGCGTGCAGGACACAGGAGGATTCTGAGCGATGTGACCCATAGTGCGGTTTTTGGGGTTCCAGCCAGCAAGTCTACCCAGCTCCTGCAGGCGGCTGCTGCTGAAGCCAGTCTCAACAAGTCCAAGTAGGTGGCTGCTCACTTGGTGTCAAAGGGTATAGAGGGAGGGGGTAGGTGAGGCTCTTCAGAGATTTCCTAGGCAAAGCTTTGGAATGAAGGTAGGCAGCAAAATCTGTGGTCTAAATGAGCCTTTGCCTTCCCAAGACCACAGTTTAGGGCTTGGCAGAAAGTTGCTGAAAGAATTCGCCAAGGGCAAAAGTCCTCCTGAGTGCTTCCGTGCTCCCCAAAAGCTAAGCAGACAGGGCCTTCCTCTGGATTACAAAAGCTAGTGTCGTTTCAGCTGTTCCACCAGTAGCCCTGGTGCATGCTTCACGCTTGCCGCTTAGCATCAGCGCTTCCCCAGGAGTACTTGCTAGCTCACTTTTATAGTGTCTACAGGCAGGAAGCCTCCACGTGGGCATTGCAGAAAACTGTTTCAAATGGGATGCTTATGATGCTTGTTTTAATCCCTGACACCAGGATGCTCAACCAGATTATGAGTAGATAAGGCTAACTGATCCCAGCTTTCTGGGCATGCAAGTACAATAACTTGTGCTGAGTGTTTTAAGTAGGAAGTAATTATAATGCAGTAGCTTGGACCAGCTCATAGTGCTGGCCAGAGGATTTCAGATGGGTTATTAATGACTGTTGTTTGGTTGGGATGATCACATCCAGATCTGCTTCCACCACACCCTCGGGTTCCCCAAGGACCTCACAGCAGAATGTCTACAACCCGCCCGATGTCTCCACGTGGAATCCGTTTGATGATGATAACTTCTCCAAACTCACAGCTGAGGAGCTGCTGAACAAGGACTTTGCAAAGCTAGGTGACGGTAGGTTCATGGAGATGGTTTAATACCAGCCTGCTCTCAAAATGGAAGATAGCATGGAATAATGATGCTTTTGGTCAGATGCTGCTGGGGTTCTCCCATATTATCATGATCCTGTGCCTGTAAGAGCTGAATCCTTCCAATCTCCCTTCTCTATCCCTGTCCTCTTTGCTGAGCAATTGCAATTAAATGAGCATGATCCTCAAAGGGAGAGGTACTAACTGCTTTTAAAGTGGCCTTGATCAGTTGGTTGTAGAAGCTCCAGTTTAAACTCTGCTTCATCTGCAAGTTATGATTTGCAGGAAGGGGCTTGAGTCACATACTGAAATAGTGTCCTAAAACTCTAGGTAAGTAGGCAACCTTCAGAATGGAAGTTTTTTCTCCTAAATCTGCATCTGGCATTTCAGGGAAAGCTCCAGAAAAGATGGGCAGTTCCACTGAGAACTTGATTCCAGGTTTCCAGCCGGCTTCATCTGCGGCCCAACCAGATGCATTTGGTGGCTCTTCCTTCACTGCTGGATCAGGTGAGTTTATGACTATGTCCTACAGGGCAATGCCCTGGACAGCACTGCAGAAAAACGGCAACTCTTTGTCATAGCTTCTTTAAAGGGAAGGTAAAACTGATATAAATTGAGCCGGGCCTTGGCACTGAGAACTGTAGGATAGGGTTGGCACTTCGGTAAAGAAGGGAAGGTAGGAGCGGCACATGTACTTGTCACAGTTGGGTAGTAGAGACAGGAGGCACCGTCTATAGGCAGAGGTGAGGCTTTTGGTGAAGGAAGAAACTGAGTGAACCCTTAAGTTCACAAGAAAGCTTCTTAACATGTTGAAGTTCCATGCAGCTCATAATTAGAAGCAAAATATGTAGCATGTAATAAGGGAATTGGACTCGGAGACATTGATCAGACATGCTGCAGGATATTCCTTGCCTGCAGTTGTTAGGCTGTATGAAGAAGGAGAGGAGCAGGGATAATAACATCTCTGCTGCAGAATGAGGAGAATAGCAGAGACAGGAGTGAGCAGGGAAAATCCTCAGAGGAGAGCACAGTTAGAAGTTTTCCGCTGGCTGTGCTGTCTGGGTCCAGAGGCAGGGAGTCCTTGGCTGGTCTAAGGAGCTTTTCTGCAGAGGCCTCTGCGTGTGTGACCTTGTCTGGTGTCTCCTTTGGTACCAAGGTTTTGCCATGAGCAGCCCCTTCTATGCTGAAAAAACTTGGTGAGTGCTGCTGCTTGTTTCTACTTCTTCAGCATCAGTTGTCACTGAATGCAGCAAAGACCTGCCAAGCACAGTATTGGAAAACTGCTTCCAGGAGCCCTAAATGCAAGTAATCCTCTCCCCGGTCTTATGCAGCCATTGTTACTGGTGACAAATGCAACTGTGTGATGCTTCCTCACTGAAGCGCACCAACCCTTGGTGAGAGGAGTCCTGGGAAGAGATTGAAGAATCCTTTGTGGGGCAAGAAGTGACAAATCCATTTATGCTTATTTCTATTTATAAAAAGAGATTTACGGGAGCTTATAACTGAGCTTGGTATTGTTGGCTCTTACCTGAGAATTAAGGAGTTGAAGTCCATGATGCAAGAGTGCTCTAGGGGGTTGCTTTCTGAGTTTGTCCAGCTGTTCAGTGCCCTGTGAACAGTTTACGATGTTCCATCAGCCTTTGTGGAGGGATGTTGAGTAGCAGCAGCTCCAGATTCAGCTGTAACATACCTTCTGCAGAGCCTGAGAAGCATCTGCATGTTCTGGGCTTTCCGGATGCTGTAGCACGTTCAATTCTTTTAGCAGTTTTCTTTAAAATGTGCCCCTTGACTCTCCTGTCCTGCGGTTTGGCGTAGGAAGGTGTCTTGGAAATTTTCTCAGTGCTGACGCTGGGCTGGGCACTTCTAGCCCTTTTCTTCTTCTTTCCTCATAGATATGAGCCTGTCTAAGCCTGTCTGATGCAAGATGCTGTATCTTTTATTTCAGGCAAAGAGGCCCAACATGGGGGCTGGCCTGCTGTGTGTCCTTTGTTAAGGCATTTCACCTTTTGTGCCGCTGTAAAGCAATATAATAGTACTTCCCTTTCAAGGAATGTTTTGAGATCTGTGGGTTAAATTGTGTTGGAGAGCTATGTGGTAATAGTTGTTCGTTTGTTTTTTGTTTTTTTTTTTTTCCTTTTCACTAGCAACATAAACTTGTTCTGAGCGTGCATGTGTGTGTTGTTCTTGTCAGGCCGTAGCTTGGACTCTAATATTGAGCTGTGCCTGTGCTGAGATTTTGCTCGATGCTTTCTGCTTTTCTCTCTTCTCTGTTTCACTCTGCCTTTTCTCTTCCTGGTTACCAGCTGAAAAAACGAAAGACATTCTGAGTTTGGACTCTAGCCCTCCTCTTCTGACTGTGCCTGATCCTTTCATTCCTCTCCCATTATCCGACACGCCAGGTAACCAGAACTGAGTTTATGGAGGGGGGCAGATTTGTCATTTATTTTGTACTTTTAATCTTCCAGTTCTATTTCTAGGCACACCTGAAATCCTGGGCCTTAGTCAATGGTGCTGGGCGCTGACAAGCTCTGCTGAACTCGGTGGTAGTAATGATGTGTAGCACTTTCTGCCATTGAATATCTGTGTGGTGGTGGGAGCGGTGCTGAGCACAAGAGCCATGTTTTCATGGCAGACCCTGGGGCTACCATATTGTTTCTAATGCCAACAATGTTGGTGTCTTTAAAGGTTCAGTATTCAAAGCCAAAAATAATCACTGGGTAACCTAAGCCATTTTCAAATTGGTCTCCAACTTTGAAACTGTAGTTTTTATTACTGTTAATCTTTCTTTCCCCTAAGAGTCAGTGTTTCTTTGGCTTCCGAGGTGTATTGCAAATGCATGCTTCATGTGAAGCACAAGTTAACATGTAACCTTTTCTGATTTGGCAAAATTTTCTAGTGCGGTTGGTAGCAATTTCCATTTACTTTGCAGTACTACTTAAGTCTTTCCTGTGTACACATTTCTGACTGTAGCAGCCAACAGTTTTTAGCACAAGATTATGTAAGTGCTTAGGAGCTTATTTGCAAATCAGTGGGATTTGGAATATGGGAACGTTTTTATCTTGGAGTTTCTCTAAGTCCTCTGGTGAATGTGTGTGACAGGTCCCTTCTTGTCAGCTAGCCCCAGAGGACAAGTGCTTGTTACAGCTCTCATCCTTGTCCTCAGCTCAAGCTGTGGATCACTGGTGGTTTGACAGTAAAGGACCCAAGCTTCAAAACGATGTGCTTGTAAAGATGGCATCTCTCCATGGAAAGTTAAGCAATTCAGGAAAAAAAAACCCTATTTTTTCCGTAACTGTGTGGAACTTGCTTCCTTCTGGTTGATGCTCAAAGAGCACGAGAAATGCGTTTTGGTGCTAAAGGGATTTTACTCATAAATGCTGCAGTTTGAGAAAAGAAGCAGAACTTACAGGCTTTCTCCCCTATGTGAGTGCTTGCCAGGAGCTGACCTGCCCAGCTATAATTTGAAAAGAACCTACAGAAGGCAGATGACTGCACGTTTTTCTTCCCCCCCAAATGCTATTGGAAGCGTTGGTTTTCCTGACTTGAAGTCTGTCAGCCCAGACTACTGTTTAATTCTCTGCCAGTGTGCTCAACACATACAGTTGCACACCAAGACGGTTCTTTTCCTTATTGCCTATTGCATTTTGATATAGCACAACCATATGAAGCAGCAGTTGCAGCCTTAGCTGCGGGAGCTCTGAAATTCTTTATAGTACAGAAACCATTGCGGAGAAATTGCCTTTCAACCCTGCCCTTGGGTGCAAATAATTAGAGCAGCAGTTTCTGCAGTTTTTGTGGTGCCAGGTTGCTTGTCCCACAAATCTGTCTCTGACCGGTTGGGTATCTTTTTGCAGGCAGGTGCTAAACCTTCTTTTGCTAATCTCTCTGGTGGCATGTGTCTGGTCCTATTGAGTTCAGCGGATCTCCTTCCAGGGGGGCAAAGCAGGGGGGCAAGGGCATGCAGGAGATCTGGCTTTGTTGGCTTCCTGCAGGTTCCTGCAAAGACATCTCTGATTTATTTTTGTTTTTAACATAAAATTTGAGGCCAGGAGCTCATGAATGTTTTCAAAGACCAGAGCTACAGACTTATCCTTAGCTTTGAAAACTGAGAGGGGTTGTCTGTGCTTGTAAATTCAATAGAAAAGATAAAAATCCTGGATTTGGACTCGGGTTATCAAGGTGTGTGTCTATCATGCAGAACAGAGTCATCTTTGTTCTTCTGTGTCTGCATTACCTGTGCAGAAACATCCCCACAGCAAGCAGAGAGGGCTTGGACGTGAGGGATGTGCTGACTTGTGTGTGAAAGGCGTTCTTTTAGGTGTGCCCCTTGGGTCAGTAGAGCTGGGATTGACTTTAGTCTCTTAGTGTATCAGCATCTCCAGTTGCACATCTCCAGGCTGCCTTAGTTTTGTGCAGAAGCAGCTGAATTTCTTTGAATGCTTGCTAAATATTTGCTTTCTGTTTGGAATATTTTTATTTCTGAGAAAACCTTGATAGCGAATCCCATTGCTTTGAAAACATTTTATGTCTGTCTTTTTATAGACTGGGAGCGTGCATAACCCTTTCAGAAGTAAAAGCGTGAGCCTTTTACCCCTTGGTTACAAGAGCAGTGTTGTTCAGGAAGGCTTTCAGTACAGGCATAAGTGAGGCTTTTATTTGGTATTTTCCCTGTTTGTCATACAGAGCCAGTTTTGTCAGCTCTCTGCGCTCTAAACCTGTGACAGCTGAGGGTCTGGCTGAGAGCTCAGCATCTTTTTTTTGCTTAAGCCAAAAACTTGCTCCCTTTGGTGGCACCTGAGAGTGCAGGTGGCATCGCTTGAGTGTTGGCCAGAGACCTCCTTGGGCTTTCCCACCTTTCCTCTGGATGCTCAGAAGGACAGATGAGCCTTTCTATCACAGATTCCCGAGAAACAAGTAAATGATGCTTAACGCATGACAAATAGCCATAGGGTGCATTCCCAGACAGCCTAAATATGTTCAAATGGAGGAGCGCGCTGCCATGGAGCTACAGCCAAGAGATGTGGCTTTAAGTATGACTGCTTGCTTGTAGGTTTAGCGAGACCACGCTTTTGGTTCTGTGTAGTCAGTTAAATGTGTGCAGCAAAGACAAACCTTGGACAGCAGGTTCTAGCAGACTATCCTGTTTGCGTGGATCACAGTGCTGGAGATGTGTAATATCCTAGAGGAGGTTGTTTTTCATTTGTTGTGGGTAACAAGCTTCTCAGTAAGTGCTTCTAGAGAAGAGGTAATGTAGCACCCTAGAGAAGGCAGAAATACCAGCCCTGGACAATAATCAAGTGGAAGTAGAAGGGTTTTCAGTATATTCCTCCTTCTCCAATGCGTAATGGCTGCAATTCTTAATGGAATTGTAACTAGTAAGAGGAGCTGGCAAGAGGGATGTAAAAATATGGCAAAACGTCTGTTAAAATAAGGGAGAATTAAATATTCATGCTGAAAACATTTCTCCTTGTGCATGTGTAGGAAAGTGAGCCAAGTTCTTCTTAATAAGCTTATTGCAGGCTTCACTGCTGATTAATCATAATGGAGTATTTGATCAGAATGGTAATTTTTCTGCTACGTGTGGCTACGTCTATCAGTATGAATTGAGCTCGTACGAGCATGGGAGGCTAAATTTTGCACAGGGTATTCTGGAGACCTGAAATTAAGCTGAATTATGAAGCTTCAAGACAAATCTTGCCCTTTGTCATTGAGGCTTCGCTCCATGAGTAGTCCCCAAGTCTAGGGGTTTTATGCCCGTTATGTACAGTAGGTTTTGTTTCTTTTGACTTCATTTCTATTGGTGTGAATGGACTTTGGACTCAATTCTGAAAACCTGCTTTGCAGAAGTATTTAATGAGAGGTTTGACCCAGAGCCTGTGAATATTTCGGCTTTAGCCCATGACCCTTATTAACTGCTGAAATTGAAATGCTTAAGTGCTGTCTTGATATAGTTACCCGCACTCTTCAGTCAGCAAGAATTATCTTAGTGTCAGGAAAGGTTTTAGATACATCCTCTTGACTCTAGAAACATCTGTCACATAAACAAGTTTTTGAGTAAGTAAAGAGTGGACCCAGTGAAATGCCCTCTCAGATACCGCCAAAAATATTCCTTTACAATTGTTTGAGGGGTTTGTTTGGGGTGAGAGGGGGGGTGTCTCCTTCTTGCTTTAGTTCCAGATAAATATTCTTCTCCCAGGTACCCTGTGCTATCAGCAGTCGTGGCTTAGTCTCTCCTCTCTGCAGAAAAGGAGGGAGATGAGGTGGTGGGTGTGGGTCCTTGGCAGCAGAGCAAGCAAGGAGAAGTTGTTGAGCAGCAGCACTGAGGTGTAAGAGCTGAGAAAGAGCAGCTCTGCTCCTCCCTGTTACTGGATGGAGGACAAACTCCCCCGTGCTGCGGATTGCATCGCACTGATTCATGTGTGTGTGCAGGGTGGTGGTAGTGGTGGTCTCTCTCTGCATCAGTACCAAGTAGAATGCTGTCTTTGCGCAATGAGTCAATCTTTTTTACCCCCTTTCAAAACAGAATGGATCATTCTTTGCGAATTTACACAACCATTTACTCCCTGCAGTAATTCAGCATCTTAGCTGCAGCTGAGAGACAAATGTGTCTTTAGTGTAGTTAGTTATTTGTTTGAAGAACAGCAACACCAAGCGGCTCCTGTGGCATTGTCTTGGCCATAACAGAAAGTGAGGTAGGAGAAATTCTGTGTCCGGCACAGCTAAGTAAACATGCAGACAGAGCTGGGGAAGGAACCACGGGCCAAGAAAGCACGCCTGTGCCATCTGGGCACACACTGGATTCTCATTCTTGATGAAAAGGCAAACAGCGTTGCTTATTAAAGAGTTGTTATGATGTTGGAGTTCTCTGTGGCTTTTAAATAGCACTTTAAGGATGATTTTTGCCTTTTTATTTCCTTCAAATACCCACGGACTTGTGTGTTTTTATGTTAGCCCGAGAGGATGCTTATCAGGGCTAAGGAAACAGATAACTTGCAGTGCAATTTCCAAACAAAATGCGTCCACACCCTTGGCCTGTTTCTAGAGCTAGCTATCAAAAATGTGTGGCCCTGATAACCATTCCTGCTCAAAACATAATTGGCTTCAAAAATAGGAGTTTTAAGCAAACCTGGATTTTTTTTCATTGTATTCTAATGTGTGGCCTTCAGGATCTGGGTTTCCAAGCTTTCTCTGCAGGGTGCTAAAGCAGCGTTGCAAGCTGGAGGTGAGTTTCAGACTATTGCAACGTTTGAAGAACTGGAAATGGGAAAGAATTGTGAAGTGTGGAGATCAGATTGCTGAAGCTGGCAGTTTCTAGCACCTGGAAACATGAGCTAGGACTCAAACCATTGACATCCCTGTCAAAACTGCTTTTCAGCTGCTTTAACAGGGCTACTGTAGG